TCGACCAGCGAAGGCCGGCGGCTTCGTACTCGACCAATGCTACTCATTTTAAGCCAATCCGATAGATTCGTTACGAGTGCTGTTGGGCCGCCAGATGCAACAACTTCAGAAGCACTTCCGGTACGCAACGACACTTGCTCCGGTATACCGCTTAGGACAACTGGCAGGGAGGCACGACGAGCCGCTCGTGATGATGTTACGCCGTATCTGTTAAATGCTAACGATGTCGCTGTTGCTGCAGATGGTGTTGACTGTACACTGAAATTAAAGCAGAACTGCACATTTTTTATTTTGAATAATTTTCTTTTTTTTTATCCATCTTCAGGACGACTCCGATTTCTTAAGAAGGGTTTGCAAATGGAAAACAGATTCTCGAAATGGGCCGCATGTGTAAAAAAGGAGAATACCCGAGTAAGGAGAGAGTGAAAGGGAGCAAGGAGAGGGAAAATGAGTCGTTACAAAAAAAAAGAATCTATCGTTCAAACTGAGCTAAATTCTATTCATTTTATGTTGTTTGATGCTTCAGGGTTTCCGCATAAATAACGGATATTAATATTTCAATAACAATAAGGCAGCACTTTACCAATGAAGCAAAACATTAGTAAAACTTGATCAAAGTAAGCATTAGCACTGAACAATCCCAGGCCCTTTTCATCCTTATCAAATTCTAATTCGTGATTAGTGACCAGTCGTGTTCAAGTAATTTCGGTGGAACTTTTAAAGTGGATATCTCCTTTCCGCCTTCCCGGTTCCCGTCCCCAGACGAAGCATTCTCACTGAATTTTTCCTCAAATTTCTTCCCTGCCTTAAATTTCTTGCTAGCCGACTTAAAAAAAATATGGTGGTATTTAGATTTCTTGCCTTTAAAAAAAATTTAAACCGCATGAGGAAGCTACAGAATCGCTGCTAATCCCTGGCGGTTTAACGAAAAATTCTTAGTTTTCGCTTAAATTTCGACGTGAAAATTGCCGGACTCGCCCTGAAGACAGCTCGCTTAAAGAGTTAAGCATATAACAAGTCAAGCAATCAGTAAGGGGCCTCCGATGATTTACACCACGCTTTCGGTACAAGCAGTTTGGAGCGTTATTCATTCTTAGTTAGTTCTCGAGTATGCATTTTCATTTTCTAGAAGGTTCACAGCTAGTTTTAGCAGAAACCCATATTTTTCCAGTTTTTTCCACTTTGTTTTTTTTTATTTTTCCGACCATCAGTTTTCAATTAAAAGCAAAAAATTGTTAATGGTTATTGGAATTCTTCAGAAAAAGTTTCAGAAGAAGCAAATTGCTTGGCACTGCAGCATACAGAGTGTAGCAGCATCACGGTAACATCAATAACGTGAGATTTCCACACCAACTGTTCGGACAATCTTAGTAAAACCCCCGGTGAATATCTGCATACAGATAGATGTACCAATCTTGTTAACCAGTGAGAGCTAAGGAATGAAAGTAGTGAATGAAAAAAATTAGTCCTTGAAATAAAGATCGGAATATTTTTTTGTAACCATCAAACGATCAAAATCACCAGCGGAAAGCTGGCCATCAAGCAATGCAGCATTGGTCAAAACAACCGGGAAGTTGCCAATTGCGTGGCCAAAGAATCAGCTAAGAACTGCAGCTGGCCAGAATATCAAAGTAAGTATCAAAACAATCTCATCCACCAT